TTTTTCTACCATTCCAACCCAGCCAACTCAACACAGAAAACCTTGAAAACAAACAAACAAAAAAAGGTCCTACCAAGGGGTCAGCCTTAAGTGATGGGGCAAGGTGAGGTGGGAGCTGAGGGTGGGACAAAAAGTGTGGACTGAAATCATCTGATGGAACTCCCAGTGGACAGCTGGCCTAAGGACACTGCTAAAGAAACATCAGTTGTCCGGATGGAGGCACTGACTGTGAATAGTAACTGTGAATGCAGCAGTATGATATTAGTTTAGCAGGGAGACTCCCCAAGAGTGTGAGGTTGGGTAAGATGGGGGCAGCATTAGTCTGGGGAGACTTGGAGGAATCTCTGGACTGTGGGGAAGGCATAAGTGGTATAGCTATGAACACCCCATTTTTCTGAAATCACCAGGACAGGATGGAATATTTGATAGCTGTCTTGTCTTTCCATGTTGGGGTGGCTATATGGTAACAGGCAAGAGTAAGAATATCAGTGCTTGGAACAACAGTTGGGGCTGGGAATGGCAAGAACTTCATAGGAGACCTCTTTTTGGCTCTCTCTCTGTGAACGCAGACATGCAGGTAAGAACACACATGCACATATGTTAGAGTTTCAGTAGCAAGATAGCATTGTACCAAATAAGGCACATGCCCCAGTGCATGTCTGCAGCCATGACAGGAACTGAGTTCATTCAGGTGTGGATTTGTCCCTTGGAGAATCCAGCTAGGATGTGTAACCTCCCATTGCCTGGGTCAGAGCTGTTGGAACCCCATTAGAAAATTAGAGTTGCATATGATGTTTTGGTCACTGCAGTGGAAAAGAGACAGCTGTTGAGCACCTACTGTGTGCCAGGCATAATGCTGGAGGCTTCCCTTGTTGGTTGCTTGATCACTTCATTAGTTCATCCAAGATGCACTGATCCCCTGCTGTGTCCAGGGCAGAGTCCCTGCCCTCATTCCTCCTCTGAGTCTGGGGTCTGCCTTGTTTTGAGCAGTGGGCACATTCTGCTTTCCTGATGAACCTGGGAGTCTCTGCATTCCAAAATGGACTTCTGCATGGCGGGGTAGGTGGACCTGGCTGCCCATAAGCTTGGCTTCTCAGTTAAAACCAGTTTGCCCAGGGCACCATAAAATCAGTAGTCATGTGGTTGATAGAAAATAAAGAGGTAGTGTGAAAAAAAAACCCACCAAACTAAAAGAACATGTTAGGTAAGAAAGGAAGGGAGGCCCAGGGCTGCAGTGGAGAACTGGGTCAGGGGCTGGGACTATAGATGAGTGAGCAGTTTTAACATATTACTTACAAAGAAATGCCCTGGAGGAGATATTGAGCAAGTGACTCCTGTTGGGAGCCTGGAAGTCTCCTGTCCCACCTTCCCTTAGAGCTGCAAGAGCAGTTCTGATGGAAAGCACTGGGCTTAGCAGGCAGCGTGGGGATCAGGTACAGCTATCTTGAGAATTCTCTGCTGCCGGCCAGCCTGTAGGCAGCTGATTTCTAGCCCACTGCTGGTCATCTCTCTGCTTTCTGGACTTCTTTCTTGGTGTCTTTGGATGCTATGGGTGTTGGCCCCTTGAGCAGCCTGATCTCAGCAGTAGGAGCTGGAGGAGAAGGGTTTGCAGTTTGTTTTGTTTTATATTTGAAATCTAAACACTCGGTTTCCATTCCGGGGCTTGTGAACAGGTACCTTGAGGGCTCAGCAGCTGTGTTCTGCGGATGCTTTGAGTTCTTTGTAAAGGAGAGGTTCGCTTTAGTAGCCTGTGTGGAGAAGCCCTGATGGGGCTTGGGGAAGGTGGGACAGAATCCTGAGACTTTGTCCTGGTGAGATCTGTAGGAAAGATCTCTACAGATGGCAGATTGTGAAGATTTGTTAACATCCCATTTCCAAGTCACGAAAAAGCTGCAACTCCGAACTCAAAATCTTGGAAATGATTTTTTGGAACATAGGCTTATTCCTTGAGTGACTGCTCTGTGCTGGATGAACAGAGAGGTTTAGGGTAAAGAGAAATATGACACTGGCTCTGCCCAGCAGAAGTCTAGAGATGTGACTCATTGTACCACAAGGAAGGTTGTGAGGAGGTTGTAAGCGAGGTATTCACGCTACTAAGGGAGTAGGTGGGAGGGGGAAAGTAATTCCTACCCGGAGAATCTGGTGTTGGCATCCACATTTATTTTCCACTGGCTAAATACTTCACCCCCTCTCTGCTTCACACTGGGAGCTTGCTTTTCTGCTCCTCTGGCCAAGGGGCGTGCTTTTGAAAACCTGTGAGGGGAAGCATTCAGGAGCCTGGGCTTGCCGGCAGCTTGTTAAAAGAAGAATTTTGCTCTGGCTGGTGTGGCTCAATGGATTGAGTGTCAGCCTGTGAACCGAAGGGTCACTGGTTTGATCCCCAGTCAGGGCACATGCCTGGGTTGCTGGCTGTGTTGCTGGCTGTGTTGCCAGCCAGGTCTCCGGTGGGGTACATGTGAGAGGCAACCACACACTGATGTTTCTCTCCCTCACTTTCTCCTTCCCTTCCCCTCTCTCTCAAAATAAATAAATAAAAACTTAAAAAAAGAGGCAAATCAAACATACGGGATTGCTGTTCTGCTCTCAGAGACAGCAAAGTGAAAACTCATTACACCAACAGGTCAATGTCCTTGTGGAACAGTGTGGATTTAGGATAAATGTTCTCGTTTCACAGATGAAGAAAGTGAGGACCATAGTGGAAGTCAGCTACAAAATACTGTTGGAACCGAGCATCTTAATACCCATTTCACTTTCTTAAAGAATACAGAAATTGTTATCTACATAAGCACACTGACATTATGTAAGAGGTAAAGTTTAAAAAAGGAAGTAAAATGTTATATAATATTCACATTGCATTCTTTCACCATCCACATTTTAAGAGAAGAGGACTGACTCTACCTTTTCAACTTGACTTTCAAGAACTGGCAAATGGATCTAGAAAGGGAAGGTACCTGGCAAAGAGACTGGAAAGGGAGACCCAGTGTGAGAGCAGAATAATAAAGCACACAGACTGTATGCCTGGCATAAGCCTGATATACAGCAGATGCTTAATAAATGTTCGTTCCTTTCTGTCACAGACAGACTGAGACCACCCCCCCCATCCCCTGCCAAAGCTGGCATGGCCTCAGCACAGTCATGATGGAGTAATGGACAATTAGGGCGTAGTTCAGATAGCCATAGATAATGACACATTTAACTTTGGATTGAGGTTCTCTCCAAAGCTTTTAGCTTTATGATGTATTTGCATACTTACAATTATATAAGCCCAATTGGGGAAAATAAATAAAGGAGACACACGGATCTGCTTCTTTCAGCATTCTCTTATTGCAAATCAAACTTCTTGAATAACTAGCTCCCTGTTCTTTATCTTCATTGCCGCTTAGTTAAGACATAGGGTTGGAGACTTGGGGGAGGTGGTGCAAGAAGGTAAATAGTACTTACTGAATTTCTACTATTGACCAGGAACTGAGCTTAGCACATGTGTTTATCTCCTTGTTTCGTTTTTACAATAACGATATTCTTATTGTTTCCATAGATGAGGGGACTGAAGCTCAGAAAGCATTGTGAATTACCTAAGGTCATTTAACTAAAATACAATGAAACTGGGACTTAAACTTGAAGCTTACCTTTTTTACTTGAATGTATGCTAACTCTGAACTAGAATCTGAGTAATCCTGGTTTGGTAACTTAAGTGATTTTGTAGAGTTCATGACCATAACACACGAAAAGAAAAGGAGATATCTTTGCTTCACCCAAAATAACAACAATACTTAACATTGATATTGTGTATCATTGTTTTCAAAACATTGCAGATGAATTTTTCATTTTATAGCTAACAATACAGGATTGAGTTTAATACAACATCACAGAGACAGTAAAATGCAAAATTGGGACTCAAACCCAGAATTTCCAACTTTAAATTTAATTCGAACACTCCATAGTGCCTCTCCTATGTATCTGGCCACATGGACAAAGGAAGGACTGTGCTTGAACTTAGATGTGGGTGCTCTGTGCATTTGGTGACTTGGTGGGTCTTCTGATATTCATCCAACCTTGGGTATCATTGAAGAGCCCAGTTTCCTAATTGTTTACTAGAATCACTGCCAAACCGTGACTACTGACTAACTAAATCAAAGTACACTTGGATCTTGGGGTTGCGGAAAGCCTTTGATTGCAAACTTTCATTGGGTGCTCAGAGTGAGATAGACCCATAGGAGGAACTTTCCTTCAGCCCCTCATTTCTGGTTTTCATGTAGAAAATGATGGAGTTGATGGTTATGAAAACTTCTGGTTACAGGAAAGAAAATTCCCCTTTTATTAATGCCTGGCTATTGTGCATTTCTGCTATATCACAGGAAGGAAAGGGTCAAGATATTCTGAAGAATGACAACTCTTTTGCAGTATCTCAGGTGTTAGGATACCTGTTTGGCAGCCTTACAGAACTTCTGTCTGTAGGAGGATGCCTGTTTCCCCACATCACATGCAAAGGCACTTGTTAAAACTCTTCTTGGGGCAGAAGGAAAACCAAGGGGCTGGTATTGAGGGGCTGCCACAGTCTCTACACCTGTCGTCTGGTATCAGCTGAGCTGTGGCGGTGAGCCTTCACTGGCCTCCTTTGGGTTAGTCCAGGACAGGGAGCAGCATTGTGCAGGAGGTCCTTTTCAGATTGAGAAACACACATTCTGATCTCCTCTTTTGATGATTTTACAAAAATCAAATTGCATGACAGATGCCTAGATAAGCAGGAGGAGTTTGCAATCAAAGCAAGTTCTGGGATAGGGCAGGTTATAGATTTTTAATGGCTATTAGCTTGATAATCATACACCAGGAATAGCTTCCAGGCAGACCAAACCCATGCATAAGTGGGCCCACACCCATGCACACCAACACCTAGGTGGAGTATAAAAGGGGACCCTGACAGTCTCCCAAGAGCAGAGTTGAATCTCCAGCCTTTAACTCTTCTCAGGAACCTTCAACTTTCCTTGCTGGGCAAAGCCATCATGAGTTGTCAGATCACGTGCAAACCTCGAAGAGCAGGAGGAGGTGGAGGAGGATTCCGGAGCTTCAGCAGTGGCTCGGCTGTGGTCTCTGGTGGGAGCCGGAGATCAGGCACCAGTTTCTCCTGTTTGAGCCGCCATGGCGGTGGCGGTGGCGGTGGTGGAGGCGGCTTTGGCAGTCGGAGTCTTGTTGGCCTTGGAGGAACCAAGAGCATCTCCATTAGTGTGGCCGGAGGAGGTGGAAGCTTTGGCTCCGGTGGTGGATTTGGTGGCAGAGGAGGTGGCTTTGGAGGTGGCTTCGGAGGTGGCAGTGGCTTTGGAGGCGGCTTCGGAGGTGGCAGTGGCTTCGGAGGTGGCAGTGGCTTCGGAGGCGGTGGTTTCGGAGGAGGCGGCTTTGGTGGAGGCCGCTTGGGAGGCGGTGGCGGCTTTGGAGGTTCTGGGGGTCCTGGTGGCTTCGGGCCTGGCGGATTCCCTGGTGGAGGCATCCACGAAGTCTCCGTCAACCAGAGCCTGCTGCAGCCTCTCAATGTGAAAGTTGACCCCGAGATCCAGAACGTGAAGGCCCAGGAGCGGGAGCAGATCAAAACTCTCAACAACAAATTTGCTTCCTTCATCGACAAGGTGAGTCATGAGAAGCTGGCTCCATCTGATGCTTTAGGATGCCCTACTTCCAGTGCTAACTGAGAAGCAAATCTCAGAGATTTGTCTGTTTTAGAGCCATCAGTGCAAGTCACATAAGCCTGGATTGTTAGCAATATCCAAAGGGGAAAGGTGTTGGCTTTGTGGGCTACATCTTCCACAACAGCCACAGTTAGGAGTTATTTGTGCCCTTGGCTTTACTGTTTTTGCTTAAATAAATAATATTTATAGAAAACTCTGAAAAATCATAGAAAAAGTGATATAGATAAATAATGGACTGACTGGGTCAAGCCATGTGACAGCAGGTTTTGGAAGGAATTGCTGAGACATTTTCTTCTGAGATCCTCTATCCTTCCCTATAAGTTTTTACTTTATTAAATTCTGGGGAGCCGAATCTGAAATATCTGCTTGGGGATGAATGAAGTTCCTGCCTTGAAGAGAAACATTCTCAGTTGTGACCCATAAAGTCTTTATTGGTGTCACTTTGGTGTGTTACAGGGTTTTCTCCTATTTCAAGGCTGTTGAACCTGTCTAGGGAATTTACAAGGCTCCTAAAAACCAGACTGAGGAGTCTGCCTTCCAGTGCTCTCACATTCATTACCCTTAGGAGCAGTGCCGGTGGAGGCCTGCCTTCGGTTTTCCCCAGCATTTATGGGACCTTTGCCGAGAATTCACCTGGAATGGGGAGGGAAATGGCCTGGCGTCTTGGGAGCAGCTGCAAATAAACTAGTGGATGGTAGAGTAGGAAAAAGGGTGCTGTGCATGGAGAATGCTGGGTGTAGTATTAGGAGTCTATAGAACCTTCCCAGTGTGGAGGCAGGGAGCTCAGGCTCTGTCCGGCATAATCTGGCATGATCTGTCATCCAGCTCAGGAGGATGAAGCCATGTAGACTCCTCTAGGTCCCGAAGCAGGGCATTCCAGAGCTCATGTCCCATTCTTCTGGTCATGGCAGGTGCGGTTCCTGGAACAGCAGAACCAGGTGTTGCAGACCAAATGGGAGCTGCTGCAGCAAATAAATGTCAGCAGCCGTTCCACCAACCTGGACCCCATCTTTCAAGCATACATTGGCCAACTGAAGAAATATGTGGATTCACTCTCTGCAGAAAGGACAACACAAGATTCAGAGCTGAGCAACATGCAGGATCTTGTTGAGGAATATAAGAAGAAGTAGGTGGCAGAGAAAACACTGAGTGGAGATGTTGATCTGAGCCACCTGATTATTTCCCCAACAAGTCACTCATCACTCACTTGCATTTGTGGTGATAAAGGGCTGATAATTTGCGAGGAAGACATTCAGGCTTTAGAAATCACCTGTTTTACTTGTTGGAGAGTTAATTTATTGAAAATCATCCTCATTTAGGATATCATAGTTTCATTTTAGACCATTAAAGAGTGCTTAATATTCCATGAGAATAGGGTAATTTTGGTGACTCTATCAGGAAAAGGAAAAGAAAAAAGTAAACAAAGTAGAACTAATCTAACGCTATGTCTTTTGGGTCTCAACAGGTATGAGGATGAAATCAACAAGCGCACAGCTGCTGAGAATGATTTTGTGACACTTAAAAAGGTGAGCAAGAGAGTGTCATGGCTGGGTTGGAGATGAGAGTGCTTCAGAAGCCTGTGGTATTCAAACAGACAGGCTGGAGAACAACTCTGAGTGAGAAGACCAGTGGCAAGGGAAAGGGGTGAGGCATGTCTATCACTGACTCTCTTGGGAACAAAAGTGTTTTTGTAGTTCAAGTTTCTGGAGACAATTTTCAAAGATGTTGTGCAATTTGCTAGAGCCTTTCCCATCAATAACCTATTAAAACCTATATTGGATTATGAAAGATAAAAACAAAGAGAACACTTAATTCTTCTAAAAAGTTGAGAAAGGAATGAGACTTCTCTAAGAATGCCTGCTGTTGCTTGTTGGTTGTACTGATGAAGGTTTGAGCTAGAAGGCAAAGGTGTGGATTTTCAGCTGGTTCCTACAGAAACTTTGATATAAAGTCCAAAGAAACTCAGGAGAGATTGGGATGGACAGATGGAATGAGAGAGTGGAGGACTGTTAAAAACTACAGAGGCCACTATGTCCCATAATGTATCAAGCAAGAGGGAGAGAATGGTTGACAGATCTTGATCAATTCAGAGCTTTGTTGGTGTTGAGGCACATGAGCAGTGAATGTGGGCATGGAACCCCCAGGAAAGGCACAGATTGGACTTTATGCCTGATGAGGTCTCATGAGGACAAGGCTCATCTGGAGGTGCCTGGGATATTGGAGAGCAGCTAACAGAGACTGGGTGGAATAGAGTGTAGAGAGAGGATGGGACCCATACCCAAAAAGGGGGTCATAAGTTTCACCAGAGGCCTCTTACCTTTCTTACAGGATGTGGACAATACCTACATGGCCAAGGTGGAGCTGCAATCCAAGGTAGAAGTGCTGAGCCAGGAGCTTGAGTTCATGAAAGCCCTCTTTGATGCGGTAAGGAGCCTGCTCCTGGGTGGAACCCTTCTTCCCACCCTTCCTACCAAAGGAAAGTCCTTCTCAATTGTTGAAAAAGTGGTATAGGTGGGATGTATGGACAGGCTGACTTCAAATTGCCATCATACCAGGCTGCTGTGGGGCTTCTGTGGTGTAGGTCTTGGAGGAGAGCAACTTTCTACTCTGATGTCACAGGAAGCGAGGCTCTGGAAAAACTTGGACAACTCTCCCTTACTTCAGTCCCCAAATGTCCCAGTCCCTTTAAGAAGAGATCTGTCCTGTTCCCATCCCTATGTCCAATATACTTTGGCAGTCAAATTTAATATACCTATCTGCTCCCTGCCTAAATGCACATATGTGACTTCTGCAACAGGAAGTATATTTTAAGGCATTTGCCATTAATCAGCTTCTTTCTGGGGGCACTAATCAAAACTACAAAATTATGAAGGCTGTTAACTAGGAGGCTCAGAAATACAGACCCCTCTTCCACAATTCTCAGGACAACCTCAGCAGGGGCCTAGAAATGATGGTTATAGAACTTTAAATTCCATGCAGGGCCCTCTGAGTCTGAGACTCTGTGTGGTTCCTGAACATCAGGGAGGGGCTACCTTTTCAACAAACAGGGAAGCCATGGCCGGAACTCCCATGTGTTGTAGGAGCTGTCGCACACGCACCAGACTATCACCGACACCAACGTCATCCTGTCCATGGACAATAACCGCAACGTGGACCTGGACAGCATCATCGCAGAGGTTCAGTCCCAGTACGAGGAGATTGCTTTTAGGAGCAAGGCTGAGGCTGAGGCCCTGTACCAGAGCAAGGCAAGTACTTGGAGCCCAGGAAGAGTCACAGCTGCTTCTAGCCAGCCAGAAACTGAATAATATGATTGTTATTGTTTTTATCTAGTGGAAGTTAGGCATCATTCTCCAGAAAGAGTGTCCACAGTACCCTAAATGTCCTCAGTCAAGATTGGCACTGAGTCTTTCTGGGGGTATCAGATGGTTCCCACCCCCATGAATGTAGACATGATATCCAGCTTGGCTGATGCTCCCTGGGCCAGTACCAGGCTTTCCCTGCTTCAAGCCAAGCTTCTTCTCATCTGCAACTGTTTTTCTCTCCCCATACAGTATGAGGAGCTCCAGATCACTGCTGGGAAACATGGAGACAGCATGAAAGAGATCAAGATGGAGATCCATGAGCTAAACCGCATGATCCAGAGGCTGAAAGGGGAGATTGACCATGTGAAGAAGCAGGTGGGGTGCATCCCTGAGGACTGGTGCAACTCCACAGGTTGCGCAGGGCTTGGGGTGGGGTGAGAAGCTGTGTATAGGTGTGTGCAAATGTGTGCGTGTGTGCATGAGAGAGAGAGAAACTGAGATGTTCTAGTCTAGTGTATGTTGGTGCCAAATGCCTTGAGCTTAACATAATTTAAGGCTTATAACAATTTTTAGAGTGGCCTAAGGGACATTCTAAAGCAAGGAGTAGTACAGGCAAACAATTATGCTTGCTTTTTGATTGCTCACACCAGTGAAAGGGAAGAATAACAAATAAAGCAGGGGCCATTGGACTTGTCATGGATTGCAACCCTAGTGTCCCACTGTGGCACAGCCCTGAGCACAGCTGGCTGCATGATGGAGAGGCAGTGAGTGCTGCAGGGAGTTGGCAGAGGGCTGGGCATTAGTTTTGAAAGAGAGGATGTGGGACACAGAATCTACTCCATAAACAACAGAATTTGTGAAGCAGTCCACCTTGGATGTTTTCATTTGCAATTATAAAATGGGATAATAATTCTGGCCCTGTGTCGTGAGGGTCAAAGGTCTGTGTGGGGAAATTGTAAGAGTCCAGTCAAAGGTGACTTGGGAAGATGATGCCCCAGAGACAGCAACAAGTCTTAGCACAGTTGTTTGCAGCTTGTGTTAACTCCAGGGGAACCCAACACTTCCAGGCAGTGATTCTGGCTTGCCACACCCTAAACACCTCTGTTCTCTCTCTGCCAGGCAGATGCCAGTCTCTATATAAACAGAAAGCTTTTCTCCTTCCCTTGTAGTGTAAGAATGTGCAAGACTCCATCGCAGATGCTGAGCAGAGGGGAGAGCATGCCATCAAAGATGCCAAGAACAAGCTCCTTGAGCTGGAGGAGGCCCTACAGCAGGCCCGGGAGGATCTGGCCCGGCTCCTGAAGGACTACCAGGATCTCATGAACACCAAGCTGGCCCTGGACGTGGAGATTGCCACCTATAGGAAGCTGCTGGAGGGCGAGGAGTACAGGTGAGGGGCACTGGGAGGGCAGAAGGGACCCAAGTTTACCCTTCCTTCTCTCTTAGAACCAGGGCAGAAGACAAAGGCAGGGAAAGCAGTGGTGGAGCTGGGCCTTCTGATGGCTGACAGCTGACATCACTATGTCCCCTAAGCAGGAAGTCAGGACATAAAGCATTGTTGTACAGTGGTAGATTTATTCATATGGAATGACTAACAAGGCAGAGTAAATTAAATTAAGCAGTAAGTTAATTGTGGTCTTTTCTGAAAGACAAACAAACCCCCTCCCAAAAAAAAAACCAATATGCTGTGAAAGCATGTCAGTCCTAGACACTTTGAAACCTTGCTTTCTGGGTCTGTGGGGCACGTGGTCTCTTCTGCCTCCATGCTGTGACCTGGAATAGGGAGGTGGTGGGTTGGGGCATGCTGACTGGCTGGGGTGTGCTCACCCAGAGCAGAAGCCAGACCTAATTTTTGCAGGTTTCTGGAGGCATAAACAGAACCATTTGCTAACTCCTCTAAAGGGGCCAGAAAACTGTCAGTGTCGTTAACATCCCCAGTGATTTATTTAATCTGGCTATAAGCAACTGGAGGAGGAAAGCTGTTCTGGGCCACCAGCAAGCCAGTATGACAGGGAGGGAGCTGCTGGCTCGGGCTGTTGCTCTGTGCCTGTCTGCGAGTCCAAGCTTCATATCCCTCAGCTTGCTAGAGGCAGTGGGAAAGAGTTCAGATGAAGCCAAGGGCAGTGAGGCAGGAAGGTGGGGCAGGGAGGCTGTACAGAGTGGCAGTTCTTTCTGAACTAAATGTTCATGCAGTACAGCCTCATTTCAAAATTTCTGATGTGGCTGGGATTCTGAATACTAGATTCCCCAAGATGGATTTAAATTAAAAAATGGGGTGCCAAGTCAAAAGTGAATTTGCCTTCTGATTATTTTTATGAGAGCAAAAAATGTAGATGGATTGGGATGCCAGGCAGTGTGGAAAGAGGGGGCTGGTCCCATCTCTGTGATCTGGCAGCGCAGGAGAGAGCGAGTTCTCCAGGGCTCTGGTGGCTGATGTTAGAGGCTAACCTGTACACTTGCAAAACAACATGTATGTAGAACTTAAGTGCTCTGCCTTTTCTCCCTCTCCCTTACAGGATGTCTGGAGACCTCAGCAGCAACGTGACTGTGTGTAAGTGGGGGTATGGTCCTCCCTCTGTGTGGTGTGTTGGGTGGAGGCAGGCTGAGACAGTCAGAACTTTCTATGGCATCACCATCTCTCTCTGCAGCTGTGACAAGCAGCACTATTTCTACAACCTCGGCATCCAAGTCCGGCTCTGGAGGCCATGGTTCTGGAGGTAGAGGATCTGGTTCTGGAGGAGGAGGAGGAGGATACGGCTCTGGAAGTGGCAGTTTCGGCTCTGGAGGCAGAGGGTCAAGCTCCAGAAGTGGCGGTGGAGGTGGCGGTGGAGGCGGCAGTTCCAGAGGAGGCTCTGGCTCCGGAGGAGGCTATGGTTCTGGAGGAGGATATGGCTCTGGAGGAGGCTCTAAAGGAAGCTCTAAAGGAGGCTCTAGAGGAGGCTCTGGAGGGGGATATGGCTCTGGAGGTGGTACTAAAACAGGAGGCGGAGGTTTTAGCTCTGAGAGGGGTGGTGAAAGTTACAGTTCCAATGTAAGCTTCTCTTTTAGATAAAGATGGAGTTCTGCTCCTGATTCTCCCACTCCAGAATGTAGAGGTCTGTCTTTGTACATCTAATTGACAGCAAATCAAACCTTGTAATCCACCTCTGATAGCATTTTGGAGGAAAGGGATGCCTACATAGAATTTTTGAAATATCTCCTCTCCAAAGAAATTAGTTGAAGCCACTGACACCCTCTGTCCCCTGGGGAAGAATCTGCATTGCCTAGGTTTGTGCTTCCAGCCATGTCCCCATTCCTGGCCACTCCTTGCATTGCCCATTTGGTGGTCCTCCCCGCCCCCCCCCCAAGTATTCTGTTGAGGACCCTGTTTCAAAGCCTGTGCCTTTCCCCTGGCAGTTCCCCCAGGGAAACAAGTTTCTGTGTATATAGCCTGTTTTGCTGGCTCTGAATCTAAAGTGCTGTGGTCTTGGTGTCTGCACAATAAATTTCATTTGCAATTCATAGCATGTGATGTGTGTTTCATGTCAACCTTGGCAGAAGTGGGTACCCAGGGGCTATTACTCATTGCCTTCTAACTGAAGACACCAGAAAATGGAGATTTGGAAAGGGTAAGAGAGGATTCCTGAAGGAGAAACATGTTGCCCCGGGGCAGTGTAGCTGGGAGGAGGCAATGTTCCCCCCTCCCTCTGGAATTCTTTAAGAACAGTAATGAAGTGGGGCTGGCACTGAGTCAAGGGATGCATATGTGTTGTGAGCGTGTGTTTGAATTATAGCCTTTTCTATAAGCCAGCCTTCAGTCCTTGCTCAGATCGTCTGATCTGGGCTTGATGAACCAAAAGCACTGAGTAGCCTGTATGACCAGCAGTTCTACAGGTGACATGGGCACTGAGAAATAGCAGGGAGCCAAAGCAGGTGACTATGCTATTCATTAGGATTTTATTAATGCAGGTTCACTTAACCTTCATTGATGCAGATTTAATTCAAATTTATACTAACCTAGTGACAATACCAATCACTCAGAAACAATTAGTAATAACATTACACAAGAGAATTGGGGGTAACAAACCTGAGTCCCAGAGTCTTAGTTTGTGGGTCCAGGAGACAGCACAGTGAGCAAGCAAGCCATCATTGTCTTGTGAGGAAGAATCTCCAGAGCCAGGTGGGCAGCAGTGCAAATGAAGTCCTCAGTCCGGCAGGGCAGCGCCTCTGGCAGCTGATGCCAAGCAAGATCAGTGTGGTGTGCAGCAGCACTCTGGTGTGTGGAGCTCAGCTGTCTCAATAGTGGTTTGGAGCCTGCCTCAGTTATACCCTTGATAAGTGTATATTACCCCAGTGGGGTGGAGAGTAGTATATTCCACCCTATTGTGTCTCTTGATGTGTCTTAGTACCCCAAAGACAAGTGGAAAATTTCCCCAGGAGACTATTTATGGGTGTCTTGCTTTGCAGACATGGCTGTTCTGGTCACTTGTATAGATATTTTAGGCATGTCTTCTTGCCAGATGTGTCTAACATGACAGGTAGATTCCCTCTTGAACCAAAGTGTCATGGCTGACTGGTAGCCACTGTGGTTGACATGAGTAACTTCATTTTGTTTTATATACTTTATGCTATCTTAACCAGACCAATGTCACTTTATTGGTCCTGCTCTCCACAGTGTGATATCCTCAAAAAGTATTTGCCAGACATGGGGACTGTAATATTTCCAGGAAGGTGACAGGGGGATTGGTAGGAAATTCTCTTTTCCAGAAAAAGCCACTCTTCTTAACAAGCATTTCCCACTGACTCCACCTCACTCCTGCCCTATCTGAGAAAAGCTCTGATGTGAGGCAACTTCTCCCCAGAGCAAACGAGCTGAGGCCCCTGAGCTCCCATCCAGATTGCTTGCAATTCTGAGCTTCCAGGGCAGAATTCCCTCAGTCTGACCTAGGTCATGGATGCTCTATGACCTAGAGTGCTCATGATACCCTACAGTCCTAAGTCCCCATGTGGAGCTCTCAAGAAAGCTGAAGGAGAGTATCTGGGAAAGACTCTGGGACTATAAAATGCCCTCCAAAAATAAGAGAATGCTATTTCTACAGAACATTTCCCATTCCATCAGAGAAGTCTCCCAACACATTCAGCAGATAATGGACCACTCTTTTCTCCTCTCCTCCAGCAACCCTCTGTAAACTCCCACCCCTGGACATCTTGGGCAGGGTGGCCTTCTCTTGTAAGTGTGAAGATGATTTCAGTCCCTTTCCACCAAAAGGCCTTGTCACCTGACATGGACCTCTTGGGAGCTCAGGAATGGCTGGGCAGGCAGGGTGAACTCTTGGGGCTGATATCAGACTGGCCAGAGTTATACAAATTGCAGTTGGTAGCTTAGGTTGGGTCAGGTGAAACTTCATGTATGTTGTGTTCAGATACAGCAGGTATGGTCTAAAACAACTAAGAAAAATATACTGAGGGGTCCCTCCTGGCTGGTGTAGCTCAGTGGATTGTGTGTGGGCCTACAAACCAGAAGGTTGCAGGTTCGATTCCCAGTCAGGGCACAAGCCTGGGTCCCTGGTGGGGAACTCCTGAGAGGTAACCACACATTGATGTTTCTCTCCCTCTCTTTCTCTTTCTCTTCCACTGTCTCTAAAAAATAAATAAATAGAATCTTAAAAAATACTGAGGGGTTCTTTTCTCTTTCATTATACTCTAGCTTCAAATCTTGGTGAGGTCTCTGTTGAGTCTGAGATCCTCTTCCTGTTCTTAAAGGTTGTAGAGATGGTTTTGAGAAATGCAGGGGGAAGTGTTAATAGACAATAGGTTGTTTCACCTGTACCCAGACCAGCCAGCCCCGGGTCTGAGGGTGACAGACAGAAAGAGCTCTGAAAGCTGCAGGCTACAAGGTGACAGTACATGAAACTGACTATTCCAGGGTGATCTGTTGCTCAGAAAAGGGCCCTTGATCAGGTGGGAGAGGTCTGGGGGTCGTGAGGGTGTACGCTGAGAAGGAGAAGCACAAAACTGGCTATTTTAGGGTGCATACACCATGCAAACACCAACACGACCCTAAACAGGGACTAGTGTCCCAGAAACTTAGGGCTGGAAAGAAGATTTCACAGTCAGTGAATCTGAACTTCTGATTTAGGTTAGAAATCAGGTAAGGCCTAGAACCAGGCCTCCATCCTTTATTCATGTACTGTTTGAAGGCTTCAGGAATGGCGAGCCGTTTGGTAACTTTTGGAAGGGAAAGAAGGTAAGGCAGGTAGGGTGGCAGTTTTTACTTCCAATTACCTTAATTCCTGAGACTGTCAGTGGTGTGAGTCTTCTGTGGTTCATAGCTTCTCACTCCTACCTCACCTGGAGCACAACCCTTCTTTTCAGATCTACTCAGACATGTGTTACTGTTTTTAAAAAATATTTTATTTATTTATTTTTATACAGAGGGGAAGGGAGGAAGAAAGAGAGGGAGAAAAACGTCAGTGTGTAGTTACCTCTTGCATGCCCCCTATTGGGGACCTGGCCAACAACCTAGTCATGTGCCCTGCCTGGGAATCAAACTAGTGACCCTTTTGTTCACAGGCCGTACTCAACCCACTGAGCTACACCAGCTGGGGCCACATGTTACTTTCACGTTGGACTCTAAGCAAAATTAACCTTTTATGTTAATTCAGGAATACAGGCCTGATGCCTGAAAGAAATCTGTCTGTAAGCAGGTAATGGAGTGAGGGGCCAGCTTGAGGGAGAGATTCTCCATTTGCTCCTAGGAGTCTTAGGAGACTAGTCTACAATCTGGGTCATGCCCCTCCCACCAAATCTGATAATTGACTTGTCAGGTTCTGGCCTTCAAAAAGAATAGATGGACACAAGCAGAAAGGCTTTATGAGCTCTATTTCCGTAGGAAAGTGGACTAAATATTTATGTTCTGATAATGTTGCAGAATATTTGGAACTTGCTCCTTTTCATAGCTCCCTCCCTTTCTCTGCCTGGGAGTCCAAGGATGAATTCAAATGAGCCTCTTTGCTCCCCTTCACAGAAATCTTCCCTATCGACTTAAACGAGTCTTGAGACAGCTGACCTCCTCCAGGAAGCCCGGTTGAATGGAGCACTCATGCTTCCTCTACTTGCTGTGAAGTGGAGAAGCCTTTCTGTGGGAGGGGGGAGACTTGAATGCTTATCTTCATCTTGGGGGGGAATCATCATGTGACGTTATAATAGTCATTTCTTCTCCCAAGGCTGATTTCTGCATCAGTTAAAGGAGATGAAATGGGATGTCTCTGTGTATCCCCCCAGCTCTGATGAAAAAAGCCCTGTCTGTGCTATTGGGTGGGCTTGTTTGTTAAACCTCCCAGCTGAATGGGGGGTTTGGGACACAGTCAGGAAAGAGGCTTAGAGACACAGGATGTGGGTGGGTGTGAACACCTGAAGGTCTGTTTTCATCCTATTTCATTTCATTTCAATTATTAAATTTGAAGGTCTTACTAGCTTTATTAAATGATTCATGAATAGGGCAGCACTCCACCTGGCCAGCAGAGAGGAGCCCCTCCTCCATTTCATTTTGGTTCACTGATGGTTGGACAATGACCGTGGGCAAGGCACTGCACTGGGCTGTTGTGAGGGTACCAATACTCACAAGACACTGCATCCCACAGGGAGCTTACACTCCAGTTGGGGGATAGATGAGAAATTTATGAACAGCTATTAATATAAGAGATACTCTGGGGGGGGGGACTTCTGACAAGATGGAGGCATAGGTGGAGACGCTGTGCTTCCTCACACAACCAAGTTTAGAGACAACTAAATATTAGCAACAGAAAACATAGCCAGAACACAGAAAATTGAACTTTTTGGAAGTTTGATAACAACAAATTCTTCAGCCTGACCGGTAAGAGGGGCGAAATCAGCAGCTGGCGGAGCAGGGTTGCACAGGAAAACTCAGTCAGACAGACTCAGCCGCGAAGAATCCAGGAGCAGAGTTGGACCTGGGGGGCAACTCAGCAAGCAACCGCGGAGAAACAGCGAGGGAGCAGGGCTGTGGGTTGACTGTGGTCACGCATTCCTGTGTGGATAGACAAGCGAGGG